ACCCCGGCGACCGAGGAGGAGGAGCAGCAGGCGCGAGAGAAGATGCTGGCGGCGCGGCGCGAGGACCCCGCCGGCGAGGGAGAAGGCGAGGGCGTGACCCTGCAGCGGAACATCACGCTGCTCAACGGCGTGGCCATCATCGTGGGTACCATCATTGGCTCCGGCATCTTCGTGACCCCCACGGGCGTGCTCAAGGAGGCGGGCTCGCCGGGACTGGCGTTGGTGGTGTGGGCCGTGTGCGGAGTCTTTTCCATCGTGGGCGCCCTCTGCTACGCCGAGCTGGGCACCACCATCACCAAGTCGGGCGGCGACTACGCCTACATGCTGGAGGTGTACGGCTCGCTGCCCGCCTTCCTCAAGCTCTGGATCGAACTGCTCATCATCCGGCCCTCCTCGCAGTACATCGTGGCGCTGGTCTTCGCCACCTATCTGCTCAAGCCTGTCTTCCCCACCTGCCCGGTGCCCGAGGAGGCCGCCAAACTCGTGGCCTGCCTCTGCGTGCGTAAGTAGGGGACCCCGGGCGGGAGGGGGAAGCCGTGTCCCTGGTCCCTGGTCCCGGAGCCCAGCATCCCTGCAGCACCTCCTCCCTCGACCATGGGAGGCCGAGGTCCCTGGTCCCGAACCCACTGGCCTTTCACTCATTCCGTCAGCCTCCTCCGTCCCTTGAGAAGCCCTCAAAAGCGAAGGAGTTCTGGGCTGCCCGTTGGGCAGTCTGCTTCCCCACCAGCTCCGATCCATTAAGACTTAAGGCTTATGTAGTGCCACCCGCAGGCAGGGCAGCTGTGCAATACTTAGTGTGTCTTGCAAGGGCCCACGTGGAGTGGCTGAAAAGCGGTTTCCTGTTTCTGCTCAGTTGTGATTGGTTGTTAAGAAATTGCAGCTTTAAAAAAAAAAATCATTCATTTCTGTTCTCCAAACTGGCCTGTCAGGACTTCAACAGGCTGACTCATAAGAAAATAGTAGTAATAAAATTGTCTGTGTAGTAAAAGGTGTTCACTTAGGACCAGGAGCAGGACTGAATTCCCCCTGCCCAGCAGCAAGGGCATCCATTGGCAGAGCCCTGGGTTGGTGGGCACAGCGCTAGTTGGCCATGGAGGGCTACTGTTCTACAAAACAGTTTCTTGCATGATTACAGGGTTAAAAAGTCAGATGTAGCAAATGCTACTTGGTTGGTTTTATTTTGTCTTATTTTGAGCTTTTGTCAATTCTCAAGTTCATCTCTGCCCAGCCTTGGACATGTCTTGCTTGCTGTCAAAATTCACACCGGAGCCCCTGGCCACCCACTACTCAGATTTATTTGTTTGCATTAAAGCTGCCACCTGATTTAGGGCCCTGCCTGCACTGTAGTACGTACAATTACAATAACAAGGTTACGCTTGAGGAAGGAAGGGTCAGAAGCAGTGAAACTCGGTGCTTGGAGTGGCCGCAGAGAAAGTGTTGCTCTGGGTGGTGTAGACCTGCTCGGCCGTCACCCACACTCTGGGGCAGGCTGCAGGGATGTGGGGAACAGAGCCAGCAGCACTCTGCCAAGTCAGGGCCTTCCTGAAGCCAAACAAGACCCGCACCGTGCTGAGAAGGGTCTCCACAGGTGGGCCCAGGACCCAGAAACTGCCTGCCCACATCTAGGCAGGGCGTGGCTGTGGCTGTTCTGCATGAGGGCGCGGGCTGGGAGGGAAGGCCAGAGGCTGAGTGGGGTGCAGAGAACAGTTCTGTGGGTGCACTGGGCTGCGTGAGAGGAGAAACAGGCCTCTGACAGATTTACTTTGCTTGTTTCTTCTTTAGGGAATTTTAATTGTCCAGTCTTCGTAACAGCAAGGGGTTTAATGGATGGGCCTGGCTGGTAATGGAATGCGCGTCTTCTCAGGGCTGCCTCTCACCTGTGAGATGGAACTGGAAGCTGGGGTGCTGAGCACATGGGCGATGCTACTTTGGCCAAGGGCAGACAGTTAGGATGGAGGAGCACACAGTTCTTTCAAATGAAAGGCCGACTAGTATAGGACTGTGTGGCCCCATACAGCCACGCATCTAATCCACCATGAGATCCACATTCCTTCTCTTCCCCACGCCTGGGCCGTGACTCCCAGCTAAAATGCAGGCTTCCAGAACTTTGTACAAATAGCCATATGCTTGTTCCACTAAGCTCTCACTGGATTGCCAGTACATCTTGCTCTCCATTTTTTTTAAAGCCTGAGGTAATATTTCCACCTCAGTACACCGAGGCAGCAGCTGCTTTTCAGCTGCAAGAGACCCTTCGCTTAGAGATCCCACAGGTGTGCTCAGCCCTGGGGTTCCTGCTTTGAGAAAGCAGCAAACAGGGGTGTGGACTCTAATTCCATAGCCACAGTGCCTTCCGAAGAAGCTGTTCCAGGCCAGACATTCATGGGCTTCTTTGGTGACAGAGGGTGAGTGACTTTCAAACCGTCCTTAGGGGCCCCATCCATGAAGCCCGGTGGTCCTGAATGGAAACCCCTGCAGGGTGCAGATGTGGGGTTCAGTGTCTGTCAGTGCCCCCCCTTTCTGCACAGGAAGGCATATACATGGGTATATGTGTCACCTCCTTTTTTACTGGGACAAAGATTCGCAGTGACAGGAAGGGACAGGCCCTCTGCAGGAGAGGTAGCTCCTGCCCAGGCCACATAGGAGAGGCTGCATCCCAGGGCCAGGCCCCAGCCAGGGAGTTGGGCCCAGCCAGGGTGGGACTCCAGCCAGGGTGGGACTCCAGCCAGGGTGGGACTCCCACCCACCCCGCAGGTGCTCTGACTTGCTATGGAGTCAGGCATCTGAGAAGCTTCAGGTGTGCGTGTGTGTGGCCTCACAGGTGGAGGGGGCAGCCTAAACCCTGACCTGAGGACAGCCATGCAGGATGGGGGACAGTTTCCAGCATTCAGCAGGGGACACTGCCCTGAAGAGAAGAGTTTCAGTGGATCTTAGTGGTCACATTGGAAATGGGTCCCAGAATTTCTCCTTAGGAAGAGAAAGGTGTTCACCTCACACCTCCCCAAGCCTGCTCCCGCAGAGGTGCCGCACAATGGCCTCCAGGCTGCACACTGACTGGGTACCTGGCTGCCAGGAATGTCCATGCCACACAGGGGGCTGGACTGGAGCTTTGGTTCTGTACATGTTTTCAGTCCCAGCGCCCATCCCTCGACCCCTTTCTGTTTGCTAAAGGCTGTCTGAAATGGCTTGGCTGGCCTGGCTCAGTTCGTGGGACACTCCTGCAGACAGGAGATGTGGAGAAAGCCAATTCTTGGGATCTGACACTGGGAATTAGGGCTGAGGTTCTTTTTGCAAGGTGACTTAAATGCATTTATTGTTTTTTGTCAGTCCTAAGTAAGAGAATTGCTTAAAGGTACTATTGCCTAAGGAGTACTCGATGGCATTTATGTGGACTTCAAGCTATGCAGGATCTTATCTACGGAAGTCTTGCAATGGGAGCTGAGATTCTGGCTGGGCCAGGCTGGGGTTTGAACAGGCAGCCTGACTTTTTTTGGGCCCCAGCTTCCCCTGTGTGCAGGGACAGAATGGTGGAGTCCCTAGTTGGGACTTATAGCCACCACGGCAGCTTCTCCAGCTCCTTTTACCCCCGGGGAGGAGCCCTAGGACGGAGGTATGTGAACTGGTCTTCTGCTGCCCTTGACCACCTGCCCAAGCCTGTGGATGCCAGGGACCTGGCCTGCAGACCAGGGTTCCCTAACATGAATGCAGGGGTCTGCCACCTCTTCCTGTTAGTGGAGGACAGGACCCTGCCTGCTGGGACAGCCTCCTGGACTTGCTCACTGTCAGGCCCCAGGCCACCCAGCTGGTTTGCAAACCTCTCATCTCTGGCAGCTGTGAATTCTGGAGATATTGTCATGCTTGCCAGGGCTTCCGAGAGTCAGATCTCCCTCACACCGGACCATGCCTCCTCTCCGGTGAGCACTGGGCTGGGTCGTGGGCCTTCTTGCTGCTGTGTGTTGGGGACCTGTGACCTGACCTATTTTCCACCTGGTGTCAGGTCGGGAGCAGCATGGCTCTGTGTGCAGAAACCCACAGGGCCTCCAAGCCTCCCTTTGCATTTCTGCGTAGAGTGGGGCCAGTCCCAGCCCCAAGTGGTCATCAGGATTAGGCCAGGCATGGTGTCCGTCACATGGCGTCTTCTGCCCTCCTTCATCTTGCTTGTCTTACAAAACTAAGGAAGGAGAGAGCAGGGCCAAGGTGAAGGCCAGGTATCTCCCTTCCCTGGAGCCTGGCTCCAGTGACCCACCCTTGGCATGAGGAGGGTGGAGGTGGGGTGTCTGGTTGAGGACTCTCAGCCTGGTGTAGCCCTTCCCTATGGAGCCAGCCCAGTCAGCTGACCTGAACCCAGGTGTCAGTGGGGTGGTGACCAGAGAGTGGATGGGTGGGGTGCTTTTGGTGCCCTCATCCTTTGAGTTGTCTGCTGGCCTCCTACACTTCTCGGGTGCCTACCACTGTAGACCCTACTCTCTCCAGACCTGTCCCTCAAGGCCTGGGGTGTCTGGACATCTCCCAGCCACCACTGCAAGGACACTGGTGAACAGGGAAAAGCCCTGGTGTTTCCAGGGCACCTGGGGGCCCTGTGTCTCAAGTGTGAGCTCTGTGCAGCTGACAGCCCTGTAATTAGCTCTGAAATCCGGCTTTCCCAGCAGCCATGCAGGGGCAGCTGGCGCCTGAGTGGGTCACGCCCAGTCATGGGGCCTGGCCTGGGCCTGTGGGCTGTTCACAGAGCGCGTGACCCCCAGACTGGTGGGAGGTAGGCGGGTATTTGTGACCCTCTCTTTCTGGGTTGCAGACCCTAGGTTAATCCCACAGAATGTGTAGAATCCCGGCCAGAAAGGCCGGCAGGTGCCCTCCCCCAAGAGATGGTGGGCACCTCATACCTCATGGTGGCCTCTCCTCAGGCTGCACCCTGGCCTCTGGAATCCATATAACCACTCTGTCTTGCTGCTGGGGAAACTGAGGCCGGAATAGGCTGGGGGCTAAAAGTCATGGCTCTGCCTCCATGCCTGCCCACCATTTGTCACCCAGCACACGTGGGTGGGGTACCGAGTGCCAGGGCCTGGGCTACCTGTGTCCTGGATGCCCAGGGAGCGCCTTCCTCCCTCTTGTGGGCAGTGTCCAGCCGTCCCTGTCCTCTGAGCTTCCTGTTGAAGTTCACGGTGCACATGGGCTCCACAACAGCCACTCTGCAGGAAAGAACGCTCACGTCCTCACCTCCCTCTGCAGGCTGCGTGCCTGTCCTGGGACTCAGGTGTCATTCAGGAAGCGGCAGGACTCTGCGTTCCCAGGAGGCACAGCCTTTCCCAGAGCCACCGCTTGTCCTGTATGCCTGGACACACTTGGTGACCTCAGCCCGTGTGCTGCCCAGCAGCGCCTCCTCCCCACCATTGTTGGGTCCCCCGGAAGGACCTGCACCTCATGCAGCTGTGCAGCCCTGGACTGTGGCTGGGAGGGCAGGTTCTGCATGTGCATCCAGGCTGGCAGGAGTCCCTGTCCAGCAGCAAG